TACTATGTTGTTTTTGCTACTATTGTTTATAGTATAATTAGAAATCTAGTATTGTGATTCCACCAGCCTTGCTCCTTTTGCTTAGGATTGCTTTGGTTATCCTAGGTCTTTTGGGTTTCCATTTGAATTCCACATTTTTTTCTAGTTCTGTGAGCAATGTCACTGGAAACTTGGTAAGGATGGCCCTTGTATGGCCCTTGATTTATAGATCACTTTCAGTAAGATGACCATTTTATTTAATTTTATTAGTACACGTTTGCAGTACACGAGGCTTACGTTCACTGTGGAGAGCTGGTTCCTGCACACAACACATCTTCTCTTTTCACCCCCTTCCTTGCTCCTCCCTCACCCCTCTTGGTCATCTTAGCTTTTGCAAACAATCTGCCTCCCTGTTTCCTGTCTTTTTTTTTATTTTATTTATTTATTTATTTAGTGTGTGTGTGGCCAGCTCAGCCCACCAGGGGGCAGGGGGCAGGGCTGGCTGGCATGTGGTGCTGGGGGATTGAACCAAGGTCCCTGTGTTTTGCTTAGCTTAGCTTGTTCTAAGTAGGTGCCTTAGACCACTGAGCCATCTCACCAGCCCCACCTGTTTCCTGTCTTATTTTGCTATTTGTTTATATTGTGATTTTCTCATATAAGAGAAACCATACAATATGTAAGATTATGTGTCTAGGCTGGGGAGATACTCAATGGCATAAGTGTTTGCCTGGTGAGTGGAAGGTCCTGAGTTATATTCCTGGTACAAAAAAAAATTATGTCTCTGATTTATATCATTTTACATTATAGTCTCAAGGTACACCTGTGTTCTTACAAAACTCAAGTTTATCTTTCTTTGTAACAGAGTACTATTCCATTGTATTTCAGCACCACATTTTCTTTGTCCATTCATCTGCTGATAGATATGTAGGTTACTTCTAAGATTTAGTTATTATGAGCTGTGTTGCTATGCACTGCATGAATCACTGTAATATGTCTTTAGCTCTTTTGCAAAAATACCCAAAAGAGGAATAGCTGGGTCAAATGGAATTTCTAGTTTTAGTTTTTTGAGGCATCTCCATATAGATGTTCATGATGGATTATTAAACTTCCTTTTCCCTCAGTAACAGTTGTTATTTTGTCTTTTCATTATTATTATTATTTTTTTAAGATAAGGTCTTGTTATGCAGTTCAGGCTGACCTTGAGCTCACTTTGTATCCTAGGCTGGTCTCAAACTCACAATGATCCTCCTGCCTTTGCCTCCCATGGAATTACAGGTGTGCTCTACCAAGCATGGACTAATTTTTGGCTTTTTAAGATAGGGTCTTAGGGGCTGGCGAGATGGCTCAGTGGAATAAGCGCTTCCCTGGCAAGTGCAAGGGTCTGAATTCAATCCCCGGTTGGGGGGGGGGGAAATAGGGTCTTGCTGTGTAGTCCAAGATTGCCTTGAACTCACTATGAAGACCATGCTGGCCTCAAACTTGTGGTAATCTCCCTGCTTAGGGCTCCTAAGTGCTGAGATTACATGCATGTACTATCACATACAACTTATTTGATTTCTTGATGATAGCCATTTTTTTTCTGTAATAAGGTAGAATCTCAATGGTGTTTTGATTTGCATTTCTCTAAAGGCCAGATATTTTTTTTCCCATGTATTTATTGCCATTTGTGTTTCTTCTTCTGAGATATGTCTATTCACTTCAATTGCCTATTTTTAAAATTAGGTCTTTCATTTGGAGAGAGCTGATGCTTCTGAGGTTTTGGTTTTGTTCTTTTGTCTTTGAGACAGGGTCTCACTATCTAGTTCAGGCTCTTCTTGAACTCACTACGGAGCCCAGTCGGGCCTTGAAGTTACAGTGATCCTCCTGCCTCAGCCTCCAAATGCTGGGATTATAGGTGTGTGCTACCACAACCAGCTCCAGTTGAAGTCTTTATGTATTCTAGATGTTAGTCTGTCTGAGAAATAGCTGACAAAAAAAAAAAAAAATCATCTCATTCTGTAGGTTGACTTGTTACTTAGTTTATTGTTTAATGTGGCCATCTGGACAATATCCATGGCCATGGGAGGTCTTTCTGTCTTCTAATAGCTTCAGTTTCTTTCCTCAATGTTCTCTAATTTTCCTTGTACAGGTCTTTGATCTCCTTGGTTACATTAGTCCTCACGTATTTTTGTTTTTGAAGCTAACATGAATGATACTACCTGATTTCCTTCTCAGATTGTTCATTATTGGGGCACAGATAAGTTACTGATATTTTAACGATGATGACTTTGTATCCTGACAACTGACTGAAGGAACATGTCCTCCCATAGGTGCCCCGCATCCTCCTCTGGCTGACCATTGAGCTGGCCATTGTGGGCTCAGACATGCAGGAGGTCATCGGCACAGCGATTGCACTCAACTTGCTCTCCGCGGGACGGTACTACGCAGAGCACGCCTGGCTTTCAGTCCAGAGCTGGAGAGAGCTGCCACTTCTACCCCAGGCTGTGTCCCTCCCTCTGCTGTCCCCCTGTCAGGGTCATGGCTTTATTTGTGGGGATGTGAACCATCTCCCCCTACAGTCACACTGATGCAGGCCCGCTGCCTAGAGGGCTGCTGCCTGCCTGGCTCTGCCTAGTTGCTCACCTAGCTTTGACATGCCTGCGGTTCCCTGTTCCCCAAGATTGTATATTCTGCTCCCTCTGGCCCACTGTCCAGGCCTTGGCTCCTGCTTGAAGGAGGCCAGATGCCCCAGTCTCCAACCTTGAGGGTGGGAGTCCTAGACCCTGGAGCAGCTGGGCTGACCTAGGCCACTGTGGTTTCAGAATCCCACTCTGGGGTGGCGTCCTAATCACCATCGTGGACACCTTCTTCTTCCTCTTCCTGGATAACTATGGTGAGCAGCAGGGCCTGCCGTGGGCGGAGCCTGAGAACCTGCTCCCCCTGGGAGGGCGTGGCCTCTGCTATGGAGGGGTTGGGGCTAGCTGTGCGGAGCTTGCGCCTCTCTTGTACTTCTGGTTCTTCATCTATTAACTGGGGAGACGAACAGCGCAGGTGTCACAGGCCAGTGAGGTAATAGTGTAAGTCAGCCCTTGACGCAGAGCCTGTAAGGCAGTACTCAATATAGTCATTATAACTATTGGTGTTTACAGGAGTTTGAATTTGATCTACCCCTTTGCCATGCCCTTAGGCTTGCGGAAACTGGAAGCTTTTTTTGGATTCCTCATTACCATTATGGCCCTGACCTTCGGCTATGAGGTGGGAAGTCAGACCTGCACTGTCCTCCCCCAACGCACACACCCTCCTTCCCTCACTGCTCCAGCTTAGCCCCAAGGGTGGGGGAAACGGCCCTTACCCAATGTCCCTGGCTGCTGGAATTTGGGGAGGATCCAGAATCCAGAACCGGTGTCAGTATGGTGGCTGACCAGGCTCTCCCCACAGTATGTGGTGGCGCGACCTGCGCAGCGGGCACTTCTTCAGGATCTGTTCCTGCCCTCGTGCCAGGGCTGTGGCCAGCCTGAGCTGCTGCAGGCTGTGGGCATCGTCGGCGCCATCATCATGCCCCACAATATCTACCTGCACTCAGCCTTGGTCAAGGTGAGCGGGCCGGAGGGAAGAGAAGACGCCTTCCTAGAGCAGGTGGCCCGGCCTTGGAGCCTGGACCTCCCGCCCACTGGCTCCTTCCCTCAAGATTTTCGGTGGCAGCTGGATCATTGTCTATTTATTGAACCTACGATAATGAGATACTAGCCAGGCAGGCGCTGTAGTGCCACCTGTAATCCCAGTACCCTGGGAGGCCGAGGCAGGAGGATAGGAGGTTCCAGCGCAACCTAGGTGACTAGTGACTTAGTGAGACACTATCTCAATGAAAAATAAAAAAGGAATGGGGATCTAGCTCGGTGTGAAGGTCTCCAGCTCAATCCCCAGTACCAATAAATAAGGAGTTGGAGTAGAGGTAAATAAGGGAACGTGGGTAGAAGTGTAAGGGGGACCTGACCTGACCCTGAGGGATTTAGGCCCTTTCATTCCCCTTTGGCATTCATAGTCTCGGGAGATAGACCGAGCCCACCGGGCGGACATCCGGGAAGCCAACATGTACTTCCTGATTGAAGCTACCATTGCCCTGTCTGTCTCCTTTGTCATCAACCTCTTCGTCATGGCTGTCTTTGGGCAGGCCTTCTACCAGCAAAGCAATGAGGATGCGGTGAGACCCTTGTCCCAGGCCAGCCCTGCTCCTTACACAATGCCCTGGAGCTTTGCTGGAACCTGCAGGTGACTTGCTTGCCTCCTCCTGAGTCTCTGGCTGAGCTGCGGGCTCCAGGTCCTCTCTCCTGATAATCTCATTGTCCGAAGAGAAGCAGTGTTTGCTGAGCAAGTAATTACTGAGCATTTGAGATAGACAAGGAAACTCTTAGATCTTGGCGCAGAGAAGGTGTGTGTGTGTGTGTGTGTGTGTGTGTGTGTGTGTCTAGAGCTAGAAAGAGAAACAGGAGACAAACCAGTATACACAGGACCACAAAGAAATGAAAGTGTTGGCAAAGCACAGATTGGGGAGTGGGGTGGGGTGGCCCCCGAAAGGGTTCTCATTAGAGGTCACTTTTTTGTAGTTGGTTGAGCAGGAGCCTGCAGCTCTTCCTGGATCTCTAGGATTTGGATCTGTGTCTAGCTGTGGTTCCAAGTGGGGCCATCCCAGCTGCCAGGCACTGCTGGGTGCTTACAGAATGCCAAGTTTTGTGGGGGAGGTGTGGCCAGAACTCTGGGACAGCTGGCCTTGCTCTGTGACCCGGGGTGGAGGTTCATACACCTCCCTGGGTCTCACCCTGTTCCTCGGCACAAGGAGAGAGGACTAGTAGTGATTGAGAGAGCTTGTCTTCAAGATAAGTGGCTTCAGGGCTGTGGGAAGTACGAAGGCTGTAAGGAAGACAGGACTGCCTGGCATCTGAATTATCTCTCCATTGCAATTCCAGCTTTTACAAACCCAAGAGAGGCTGGAAACACAGTTCTAATTGTTCCTAATTTTAAAACCATATATATATATATATATATATATATATATATATATATATGCAGAATATGTTTATTGAGGAAAAGAAAGCTCCTGGTGGCCAAGAGAGGGACAGGAGAGTGATCGGAATGGGTTGCCCCCCCTAAAATTTTAAAACCTTAAAAATTCACAATAAAAACCAAGTCGGATGCAGTGGGGTATTCCAGCACTCTGAAAAGCTGAAGCAGGATGATCAGCAGGTTTAAGCCCAGCCTGGGCAACTAAATAAATGAATAGGGCTGGAGATCTGGTTCAGCGCAAAGGCCCTGGGTTCAAACCCTAGTTAAGAAAAAAAGGAAGAAAGGGAGAGGGAAGGGAAGGCAAGAAGATAAGGGAGAAGAGGGGGAAAAAGAGAAAGAAAAAAGAAAAGGGCTGGGGATGAAGCTCAGTGGCACAGCATGTGCCTGGCAAGCATGATGCCGTAAGTTCAATTCCCAGTACAAAAAGCAGAGAAGGAGAAGATGGTAGTCTCAGCCAGGAATTTGGTGGTGCACACTTATAATCCCAGAACCTGGGAGGTAGAGGCAGGTGGATGGCGCGAGTTTGAGGCCAGTCTGGGCTACATAGCGAGTTCAAGGCCAGCTAGAACCACATAGGGGAAGACCCTGTCTGAAATAAAGAAGAAAGTGAGAGCAAGAGAAGAGAGAGGTCTGAAGGTATGAGGTGGGATTGTCACCCCGAGAGCCACCGGTTTGAGTTGATTTTTCCAAACTCACCGAGCATCTTCTATTTCCCTGCTGCTGGTCCGCAGTTCAACGTCTGTGCCAACAGCAGCCTGCACGACTATGCCAAGATCTTCCCCAGGAACAACCAGACGGTGTCGGTGGACATTTACGGAGGAGTAAGCAGGGTCTCCAAAGACGCAGAGGGTGGGACCCAGCCTGGCTCTTGTCACGCCCGCTGGGGGCGGCGCCCCTCGGCGGGCGGGTCCATTTGCTGACCACACCCTCCCTGCAGGGCGTGATCCTGGGCTGTCTCTTTGGCCCCGCTGCGCTCTACATCTGGGCAGTGGGTCTCCTGGCTGCGGGGCAGAGCTCCACTATGACGGGCACCTACGCGGGGCAGTTCGTGATGGAGGTGTGCTGTGGTCCAAGGAGGCCAGGCCCATTCCTGGGCTCGGACACGGGGCTTTGGTGATTCTAAAGCAGCCCAGAGCGCAGAACTATAAGCCACCCACTTTACAGACAAGAAAACTGAGCTTCCGAGAGGTGGGGCGGGCAGGCTGGGGAAGCCGCAGGTGCAGACAACCAGGAGCCTGTTCCCCAAAGTCATTCAGTCGTTCCCTCATTTCTCCCACCCATGCCCTGCCCACTGATTACACCAAGTGGCCCCCATTTCAAAGATGGGAAACCAGTGTCCTCCAGAAGGGAGGTGGGCCAAGAGAGGGTCCCTCTCTGGACCCCCCAGGGTTCCTCCATCAAGGTTCCCACTCCCACCCAGGGCTTCCTGAAGCTGCGGTGGACTCGCTTTGCCCGGGTCCTCCTCACACGCTCCTGTGCCATTCTGCCCACTATGCTGGTGGCTGTCTTCAGGGACCTGAGGGACCTGTCGGGCCTAAATGACCTACTCAATGTGCTGCAGAGCCTGCTGGTGAGGCCGGGGTTTTGAACAGAATCATGGCAGACCCTGTACCCTAAAGCCACCTTACCTATGGGCAGCCCCCCAGCCACCCTGGGATAGGAATCACCATGACTTCATTTTTTAATTTTTTTTTTAAACATTTATTTATGATGTGTGTGTGTGTGTGTGGCCAGCTCAGCCCACCAGGGGGCGGGGCTGGCTGGCATGTGGTGCTGGGGGATGGAACCGCGGTCCCTGTGCTTTGCCAAACTTGTTCTAAGTAGGTGCTTTAGACCACTGAGCCATCTCACCAGCCCACTTCATTTTACTGATGGGAAAGCTATGCACCAAGTTAGGTGACCCCTGACAGAGCTAGGATTCACACTCAGGCAGCCCCCACAGCCTGTTCCTGCTTTACAAGGGAGAGGAGTAGGCAGCTCCCAGTGGCTGGGGGACTGTAGGCAGAGGCTGTGGAGCCCTGGCTTTTCTACCCCTCCTGGAGGAGGTGCCAGTCCCTCAGCCTTAGCCCAGAGCTCTTTGCAGCTTCCCTTTGCTGTGCTGCCCATCCTGACATTCACCAGCATGCCGACGGTCATGCAGGAGTTTGCCAATGGCCGGTGAGTACTCCCATGGAGCGCCAGGCTGCTGTGACTACATTTGGTCCCCACAGGCACCCAGAGGTAGGCACTGCTGTTAGCCTCATTATCTGGATGCCGCAACTGAGGCTCAGGTAAAAGAATTTGCAGAGGAACTGGCCATGGTATTGGGTGCCTGTAATTCCTGCATCTTGGGAGGCTGAAGCAGGAGGATGAAAAATTCTAGCCCAGCCCAGATAATTTAGCAATTTTTTAAAAATATTTATTTATTTATTTATTTATTTATTTATTTATTTATTTATTTTGTGTGTGGCCAGCTCAGCCCACCAGGGGGCGGGCGGGCTGGCATGTGGTGCTGGGGGATTGAACCGAGGTCCCTGTGCTTTGCTTGGCTTAGCTTGTTCTAAGTAGGTGCTTTAGACCACTGAGCCATCTCACCAGCCCTAATTTAGCAATTTAGTGAGATTAGAAAACTGTATTAGAAAACAAAAGTAATGAAAGTGAGGAGAGAGCTGGGAAAGTAAATCAGTATAGAGGTCCTAGGTTTAATCCCCAGTTGTCAAAAACTAAACCAAAGACCTTGCCCAGGTTCACAGCTGGCAATTGGGATGGGCAGGAGTCTAGGGTAGGGACTGTTTCCAGAACCTGCTCTCACCATTCCCTCACCTCTTATGGATTCATGCCCACTTGGAGGGCCTGGGGCAAGGAGTGGACAAGGGTCTGTCTGCCCCTGGCCCCACAGCTGAGAAGAGGGCTTTGTGTACCCTGTCTCCAGCACCACAACAACTGGGCCACAGGAGAAGGGGAGAAGGCAAAGCCCATGGTTTGCGTGCCTCTGCCCAGTCATCTCCCTCCTGTTACCCAGGCTAAGCAAGGTGGTTACATCCTGCATCATGGCCCTGGTCTTCGCCATCAACCTCTACTTTGTGGTCAGCTATCTGCCCAGCCTCCCCCATCCTGCCTACTTTGGTCTCGTGGCTGTGCTGGCCACAGCCTACCTGGGCCTCACGGCCTACTTGGTACAGTACAGGAAGGGGGGGGGCACACTACCGTGCGGGAGGGGGAAAGAGCACCGTGGGGCTTCCCAGAAGCCCCAGCCCCTCCTGCACTCATGAGCGCCCCTCCCCCAGGCCTGGACCTGTTGCCTGGCACATGGAGCTACTTCTCTGACCCACAGTTCCCATCAGCACTTCCTGTACGGACTCCCTGAAGAAGAACAGGAGGATGGGGAGCGCTCTGGATGAGCCCCCATGCAGGCCTGGCCTGGAAGGTGGCTGGGGGGCACAGACTGGCTCGCTTGACTCCCAGGGTAGCAGCCAGATGTTTTGGGAGGCTGGTCCACCCGAGTCCTTAGGGGCTTGCTATTTTTTGATTTAATTACATACTTTACTTCTGGGTCCGTCTCGTCTGTAAAACAGGGACAAGCACCAGTGATGTGAATGTAAAGCACTTTAACTGCTGAGCACTAGCGGCTTTTTAAAAAAATCATTACAAAGTATTTATTAAACAAACTTATTGACAACGGATGTGGGGCGTGCAGGCTTATAATCAATACTTTGAAAGGCTGAGGCAGAAGAATCACAAATTTAAGCCCAATCTAGGCAATTCAGCAAGACTCTCAAAAAAAAAAAAAAAAAAAAAAGGCCAGCCAAATAGCTCAGCAGATTAAAGCGCCTGGCAGGGGCCAGGGGCCTTGACATGCCTGCCTCTGGGGCATGCTGAGACCCGTGATTGAGACTGGGGGTAGTGGTGCCGGCGCCTGTAATCTCAGCGTTTGGGAGGCTGAAAAACAGTAAAGATCATTACGAGTCTGATCTGTGTAGTGAGACCCTGTAAACCCTGTACATTAAAAAAAAAAAAAAAAAGACTTTCAAAATGAAAATGGGCTGGAGACACAGCTTAATGGAAAGGTCCTAGCTTCAAAAAAAACACTCAGCACTTACAAGAGTGACCCAACAGACACATGGGAAAAGACTGCAAGTTAAAACCTTATACCCAGGAGTGGTGGTGCACGCCTGTAATTCCAGCACTTGGGAGGCTGAGGCAAGAGGAGCTTTGAGAGTCTGAGACCAGCCTGGGGGCTACAAAGTGAGCTCAAGGGCAGTCTGAACTGCATAGGGAGACCCCGTCTCAAAAATTAATTGATTAAGGCACATAAATTAATAATAGACCATTATAAATGCTTAACACTAATTTTTTCTTCCAAAGAGCTGGGGGGGGGGAACCCCCAAAAGGCTCAAAATCTAAAAGCCTGAGAGATCCCCAAAAGTGGCTGGTCGGACTCTCCACAGCCTTAGCTGCACCTGCAGCCCATTTCCCCGCAGTAAAATGAGGCGCGATTCTCCCTTAGGGGCCAGGTCTTAAAGAACTCAAGAGTCCGTGCCTTCCAGGCCCAGTTCCTTGCCTCTGCCCTAGAGGACCGGGTCGACAGGACTCCTACGCGGCGAGGTTAACCCTGGGTCTGCGCTAACTCCCGGCTCCCCCTAGGGGCAGGGACGTCCTGAGCGCCAGAGCTCTGGCCTGGGCGTCACCCTTAGCTGCCTAACGGAAAGACCAGGTTGGCTAGAGCCGGAATCCTGCGCTGGGGGCCGCACAATCTTCTTCATCAAGAAGGTGGGGAGTAGCTGTAGGAGCCAGGGAACCTACTCCTCTACCCGGAGGGCCCGGGCACTCCTTCGTCCCATGAGCAGGATGTACTTTACAGACGCTCCCTAAACTGTTTCTAGGCTCCCCTAAGTCCCACCTCCCAGCTCCCCGGGTACTTCGGATCCTAGCTTAGGAGCCACGGAAAGCAACACTCGGGTGGGGCGTGGGGATGCCAAGCCTTTCCCAGGAGTTAAGCCTGGAGCAGGTGGGATAGTTGCTCGTACCCCGATTTCCCAAGGACCCGGCCAGGCGCGTAGCCGGACTCGGGACTCAGGTTGAACTGCTTGTTTATAAGAAAGAATTTCCTCTTTCTTAAAAGGGCAATGATGAGAGTGGGGCCCTCAAGGAGAGACGGAATAGGACAGGTTTTGGGGCAACTCTGGCAGCTGCCAGAGAGTGCGGGGAGAGAGGGCCGCCCATCCTTGCTCTGAGTTTGCCCCTGGAAACAATGGGACTCACGCGGCCCGAAGAATGGGGCGGCAGTGCAAAAGGGCATCGCCCAGCTCCTTCTCTAGTTATGGATACGTGTCCCCATCGTCATCGATACACTTGACATTAGCTGGGTTCCAGTTCTGTGCTCGGTCCAGTACCAGAAACGGGGAGGCAGGCAGTGTCCCAAATAAAAGATAGCAGCTGTCAAGTTTATACCCTAGAGGACAAGGACAAGTCACCGACCAGCAAGATGAGGCCAAAAGCACCTGACCCTGACAGAGTTAGGCTAGTAACACCCGCAGACCAGGAGTAAAGGGTAGGGCCAGAGGAGGTGGCTGGAGCACAGGGTTTTGAAAGAAAAAAAAGAAGAAAAAGAGGGACAGTCTCTCGAGAGTGGCAGGCATGCTGGGCCCAGGACTGGGAGCTGGAATCAGAGGGGACAGTGAGGCTCCTCTAAGGCGCAGTGCTGAGCCTGGGCCGGCCACCAGCACAAGACACGGTCACCTTGTGCCCTGAGGCCCTCACCTCTAGTCCTCTGGTCCCTGCAGCCCCAAGGCTCAGCTCAAACAAGGTGGCTCCAAATTTCCCTTCCCTTTCCCCCGGACATGAGGCCCCTGGGGTGGGGGACCAGAAGCCTGGTGAGGTGCTGAGGTGGGCGCTCACAGTGCTGCCCCTTCACCTCGCTTTTCCTGCATCACTTGGCAGGTGGGTGGGTGGACAGGTGGGCGCTGGACAGATAGGACGCTTGGTTTCCATTGTTGATCCCTGCCCCTACCCTCCCGCCCCTGGCCTTGCAGCCCCCAAGACAAGGGATAAAACAGATACAAATATAGAGGGACAGCAGGTGGTGTGGACCTTTTCCCCTACAGCCATCGACAGCAGAAGACGCCCCCACCCAGGAGCCCTGAGCCAGGTCGCAGGGGGTCACAGGGATGTTGGGAGGGGGCAGGCTGCCCTGCCCAGTTCTCTGGCCCCTGCTGCCCACTGGGTTCCCTCCCCCATCAGAGGGCGATGGAAGCGACCAAAACACCGCAGGCCAGGAGCAAAGCCAGGGGTGTGTTCAGTCCTTGACCCCACACTTCCTTTGGGGTCCGAGCGGCTCAGACCCAGAAGGACGCTGATACTGGGAGCGTAGCTGTGTTCTGCCCGGCCCTGGGTGCAGAAGCTAGGCTTGTAGCTTCTCTTCCCGGAGTTAGGTTTCCTTAGCTACCACTTGAAATACGAAAAAATGGGGGTTGCTCCAAACTGTAACGGAGATTAGGGGCGCTGCCAGATCATGCCCTGGCGATACGTGAGCAAGGAAGCTGATAAAGTCTAGGGGCAGTGGCCCTGCAGAGACCCTAAACGCAGGAGGAGGTCAGCCTCCCACGCCATGCCCGCCCGGGGCTTCCCCTCTGCTACCCTGGCGGGTCCCGCCGGTGCCCCGCGCGCATCTCAGGCGAGAGCGGAGCCAACGCGCCAGCCCCGCCCCGCCGCGGAGCTGGGAGGAAGCGCCGAGGCGCGTCTGTCAGTGCTTGGCATTACTATTATTTTTTAAATTGTGAACACAAAAATAGGAAGGAACTTCGTAAACGAGTTAGCCCCCTCCCCCGAAACGCACAAGACCTTATAGCCCTACGTGGAACATGTGTGTGGCTTCTCTCTCCCCCTAATACCGGAGATGGAACTCAGAACCTCCGCTGGTCAGGCAGGTGCTTATGCCGCTGAGCTATATCCCCAGCCCAGCACCTACTTGGACTCCCTAAACAATTGACACTGGTTCAAAGGAATATTAGGAGCCAGCAACCTCGGATAATCCCGGAATGGTCTGCAGAGGTGCCGGTTCCTCTAGGTTGGTGGGAAGAAGCGCGTTTGAAGAGGGAACGGTGTAGAACACGGGTATATAATTCCGGGAGCGAGCACGGGTGGCATGGGGTCTTATGAAGGACGTGCGGAGCGATCCGCGAGGCAGTAAGTTAAATTTTCATCCCCTGTAAACCGGCATCACTCCGCCCGAAACTATAGTGGCTGGAGACAGTCACAAGTAAAAAATATTACTTTGTAGGTTGGCACAGCTATCTGTAGAGTTTTTGTGGGGTATTTTTTTTGGAGGGGGTACTAGGAATCGTACTCAGGACCTTGCACTTCCCAGGCAAGCGCTGCTTTTTTTTTTTTTTTTTTTTTTTTTTTTTTTTT